TCAGCTACCTTTAAAACCCTTAAAAGCCTCGTAGGTGTCCCTGGGACCACTGGAGACACGTTCTGCCTCCAGTGTGTACGTGTTTGCAGGATCAGGGCCTAAGTATGAAGGTAAGTGCATAACTTCAGGCATCCCAGCTTAAGAGGTCGGGCCAGTGGTCATACTTACTCGCCGTCTCCAGGGCTGGAGTTGAGCAGTCCCAGCCCCTCCTCTGCAAAGCAGGGGTCTTGCCTTGTCCTCTCAGCGCCCCAGAGTAGATCCCGAAGGTTTCCACGCCCCTGTGCGGTGCGGGTGCCTGACCCGGGCTTCTTGTGCGTCCAGTCCGGAGCCGGGAGGCAGCGCTCCTAAATCCACTGGGGTCTATTTTCGCGGAGCAAGAGGGAATCGCCAGGTATCGAACCTGAAGTGCAAACAAGGCAGACCTCGAAGGAGCAAGTGAAGCGGAAATTTAAAGCCCCTCCGCTAATAATAACAGTATAAATTACCGAGGACATCGTGTAAACAGTGCGGTCATAACCCTGAAACATTAAACAGCTCGGTGGGATCTGGCGCATCAGCTGCCCGCGGACCCGGCCGGCGCGGGGGGAAAGAGTCCGGCGCGCTCTGTTTATCTCGCCCTAATCTCCCCTAGGCGAGCTGATCACTCGAGAGCACCGTGTTTAAATTACACGGGGGGCGCCGGGATCCGCGGCTAAAGGGCTGGGGGGCGAGGGGGGGTCTTTCATCTCCTTGCACTTCATCAATAAGTAACACTCTCCCCCCCCCCCCCGCTTAGCCTGGCCAGGGGAACAGACCTCCTCTGGCATGACCAGATCTCGGGTTTGCCTGGCCGAAACCTGGATAGAAAGCTGGGGTTAGTCCCGGGGTGGACGCGCGGGCCTCATCCCGGCTGCGGGGTGCGGCGCCGGCTCAGCTGCACGTGTGTCTGCGATGGCGGGTCAGTTTCAGGCAGCAGGAAGGGGCTGCTGGGCTCCGCACTGGCCCATTGGGGGTTGGCCGGTCTTGTTTTCCAGATTAATAATAATAATAATAATAATAATAATAATAATAATAATAATACTTGATCTGAGCCTTCAAGAGGCCGAGAAGCGATGATAAAAGCGATTAGGGATCATAGTTCATAATGATGACATTCATGATCACGATAATGATGATAATAACAACAACCGTAATGATGATGACAATTAGTATTATTATTATTATGGTGATAAAGAGCTGCAAACTGACAGGCCACCCTTCTTTCCCTAACCCCGTAACCTGACTTGAAGTCTTGCCTCAAAACATAATTCTTCCCCACAATCCACAAACCCCAGTTTACC